AATCCTCAGATTAGCCAAACATAAATCAATCCATTGTAATCTCAAATCGAAAGACAAAGCCTCGAAACTAAATGATCGAGAGAGCTTACCTGAACAGGAAATCGACGACGAATTTAGCGAAAGAGAGAGCCCAAGCGTGCTGGGTTCCAAGGAACCCAGCGCTTGGGTTTGACAGAACCTGCACTTGGGTTTCATCGAACCCAGGCGCTGGGTTCCATGGAACCCAGGTGCCGGGTTCGAAGGAACCCAACACCTGGGTTCTAAAGAACCCACGGTTAGGTTCGAAAAAACCCAGTAAGCACTGGGTTCTAAGGGCAAGAGGAACCCAACAGCTAGATTCGATGGAACCTATGCCTACGTTCCAAAGAACCCACGATTGGGTTCGAAGAAGCCTAGTAAGCGTCGGGTTCTAAGGGCAAGAGAAACCCAACACCTGGGTTCAATGGAACCTATGCCTGGGTTCTATCGAACCCCGGTGTGCTGGTTTGAAGGAACCCAGCAAGCTTTGGGTTCCAACGGGAAGAGAAAGGAAAAGAGAAGAAGAGAAAAAAAAAGAAAAGAATTTTTTATATTTTGTTATATTAATATTTTTTTATCATATTATTTTTTTTTCTATGTCATCACTTTTTGTCATGTTATCTTGCCACGTGTATTAAAAATTTGACATGTCATCATATAGCCGTTAGTTAATAGGACACGTCATTACATTTTTAACGGATGGACCAAATTGGGGTCAAAATGGTAAACAGTAGGGACCAAATCAGGGATTTATTGAGTTGAAGGACTAAATCAGGGGTCCATACCATAGTTGAGGGACCAAAATAAGGATTTAACCTAAAAAATACAATAAAATTATCCCTTAATCATTTTTTTCAAAAAATACCATATGAATCACAAACTGCCTAATTCATTCATAAAATAGAGATAATACTCATTTGAGAAAAATCAAATCAGAGGGCATGCATGTGGACGTTTTCAAAAAAATCAAAGGGAAAAGAAGCAATTTTTTTTTTTTTTGGTTCTAAAATAGAGAAATGTTCAATTTCTCCAAGCTAAAAACTCATTTGTTCTAGAAGGTACGCGTGGGATGGATAATAGCCTCAGAATGATGCCCCCTATGCTGGTAGAACATATCTTAAAGATGATTTGTAAAAGGACTTGATCGGTCGCAATGACAAATTATATAAATAAAATATATGATTAAATATAACACAACCATCAATCTACATCATATTATTTCTCGAATTTAAGTCATAAATTTTTGGATAACTGTAGAGGAAGCCTATCCTCTTTGCCTTACATGTTACCCCATCTTTATTTTATTTGACACGAAATGACGTGGTATAATTTATTTGTTGATTTTCTTTTGGTATACTGTTAATTTTTTTTAAAATTTTATTACTATTAATAATTACTCAATTTTTAAAAAAATAATGAATTCCATCTTTTCTTATAATGAGAGTATCCATGAAATTTTAATAAATAATAACAGGGTTTTGATAAATTTTAATAATTTCCTTTTTAAATCGTACCGTATAAAATTGTGTAAAATAAGTCAACATTAATTGGTATTTTTTTTATTTAGTATATTATTTAATAAATTTATTAAAAATTATTATTTTTAATATAAGATTTAAAAAAGATAAATTTAAAATACGAACATATATAAAGAATTCAAGAATTAGTTAAATTAATTATATTTTTATTATATTTTAATCATTAAACTAAATAAATATCAAAATATGTGTTGAATAAAAAAATATAATAATTATTTTTTCAAGTAAAATGGTCTTGAGGGGAAAATAATGTTTTTGAAATGATATGCTAAATATTTTTCAAAGTTTATTTTATGCAGGTAATTATATTAAAAAAAAGCACAACTTAAATAATTTTATGAGGAATAAACTTTTTGATAATAAGAGTTATTGCCTATTACTCATGAGTAGATAGATAAGTTGGTAGGGGACTCTTCCAACTTAACTAGAAGTCTTAGTTTCAAACCCTAAAATGCAACTCCGTTAAAACTCGTAAAGGAGAGTTTTGCCGACTGTTAAGTTTTGCTCGGCTCGAACCCAAATTAATCGGTGGTCCAGTGGATTTTCAGATACCAAGTGGTAAAAAAAAAAAAAAATTATTCCCTATTTAATAATTTTTATTTTGCTTTAGATTGCAAACCAGCTTTCTCAATAATATATCCATGGATTAAATTTATTTTTGATGTTTAGGATATCCAACTAAGGTCTTCAATGGGATAACTTAACTGATTAAAAATTTAAAATTTAAAATTTAAAATCTCATATTTAATTAAGTATTCATTGAGTGAAGTGGAAAGGAATTTAAGAAAAAAAAATTATATTTTTTTATATACCCATCATCATGTGTACCAAAAAAAGATATTCAATCAAAATTGTCTGTATCTCTATTCTAATTTATTTTAAAAAAAATTCCTAAAAACACATAGCTCGTGTTGGTCTTGACTTTAACAAAGCCTTATCCTAGCTTCCCCTTTTTTTTTTCTTTTTTTTTTTTATAATTTTAATTTTAGATTGCACATAGAAAACAACTTTTTCCTATTTTTCAACCCACCTTAAGATTATAATAGGTTGGAGTTTCCATTGTAGCTTTAAGAATATATACATATTTTTACCAACGAGGGTTGGATCAAGCGGTAAGCAATTTGTTCCAGTTTAAGTAAGTTGTAGCTTTAAGAATATATACATATTTTTACCAACGAGGGGTTGGATCAAGTGGTAAGCGGCTTGTTCCAGCTTAAATAAGGTTTCGAGTTCGAGTCTTTGTGTATGCAGCAGTCCCCGCTGGGAGACTCACCCACCATTTCCAGATGCGCGACGCGGGTCGGGTCTGGATTAATCGAGGCGAAACCTCAGATACCGGGCGGGAAACCAAAAAAAATATATACATATTTTTTGCCAACCATAAAAAATTGCCATGAATAAGCTTCGGCCTTGCATGCTTTGTTCGTATCATAACGTAATGGATACATGCAGGGTGCAATTCAAAAAGAAAGAAATAAAGGAAAAGAAGAAAAGCAAAAGCAAAATACCAAAAGCAAAAAGACCAAACCTAATAGATTAGAAAGTGCACAAACATTGCATTGTTTTGTGTGAACAAAGTGGAGCATGTCACCCTATGTGTTAGCTTCCTGCAAAACTAAATTAAAGTATACAAAAGCGATAATGCTAAACAATTACCCACTTATATTCTAATTAACCAAAATCAAAAGGTGAGGAAAAGCAGATCATATTTAATTGATTATGGAATTGTAGGGAACATTATTAAAGATATTTAAAAAAAATTTAAAGTTGTTTATATGTTTAAATGTTATTTTATAAATTAAATTTAAAATTTTAATTATATTTTTATATGTATCAAACTAAGGTACGGATATATATATATATATCTTTAAGATATAAAATAATAAGAAGAAGAATTAATTATGCGAAGATATATTAACCATCTAAATTATAGAGGAAAAAAAGATGTATCAAAATAAATTAATTGGAAGCACCTGAGACGGGTATACATGCAACAAAAACGATTCCGATAAAATTTTTTAACATTGGGGATTTATGCTTTTGAATTCAATTCCGAATCGCTTCTGCAAATATCCACAAACATCGTAGTAAGTTTTAAAAATAGGTTTCCAAATTTGTGCAATTAATAATAGATAGTGAATATTTCTATTTATAACGAAAAAAGAAGGCCTTACAAGGTGACAAAAGAATTTAGGACACATATGCATGCCCTTAAAATTAAGTTCCTCTGTTCCGGACATGATCTTGGTAGACATCGAAAAAGTGATAATTGAAAAAATAACGGTG